TAAGGAAGTTTTATTTTGTAAATAAACTAAATGATGTTTTTAATAGAAAGATTAATGTAACATTATACATGGTGTCTTCATAATAAATTGTGCACTATTTGAATGTACACAACATTACAAGAATTCAAAATGAGTGGTTTTCTTTACATACTATATATATCACTACTTTGCACCGACAAAGCTGAAGAAGAAAGAGTTTAATATTTAATGTAGTGCCATGAACGTTTTTCGTTTGCCAAAATAAATTAGTCTTAACAAAACACACGTAGTCTGACAAATGTGCCTTGCATCCCATTTTTATCCAACATGCATTGCATATCTTTTGGGAGCTCCGCTATTGGGTTTTACCTAATTTTTATATTATCTTATAAATGTTTTAAGCATGAAACATTGCTGCATTAACCAAACGAGGCCATCAGTTTATCGCCATTTCATAGCTCGAAAGTTAGCATATTTACATCGTTCCACGAAACTTCAATTTACTCATAAATAAAATACATGGTTGTTTATCTTATATAATAGGGTACCTAAGTTCAGAGTATGAGCGAAATCGATTTTTCAAGAGTTGGCACGTTATGTTTGATTTTTACTGACATCCGCTCTTAAACGTATTGTGTTATTCATATTCATAACTTCCTTTTACGTCACTGACGCATATATCACAGCTTGCAGTCACACGTGACATCAGCTTTTATATCGTCAACTACATTTTGTAAGCTCATAAGCTCGTAGAAATTCGACGGGTTTCAACATTGTTACAAAACTAGAAGCTAAACACAGCCTTTGACTGACGTTTACGCAATAAACAGGCCTTGTGGAATTCGTGAGTCCCTTCACTTAAGTTTTCACGGATCTTTCCTACCCCATGGAGCTGACGCCGCAGTCAGTCGAATTTCTGTGCAAGTTGAATCTGTCACCAGACCAACTTCCTTAAAAGACGACTTCCGGGATTTTAACCACGCTGAACTGACAATGGGTATAGCGAGACTGAAAAAAAACTTCTTCTGTATTTTTGGAAATGTCGAAATCCCGCAAATCGAGCCGATCTCAAAGGTCATCTCAATCGTCCAAAGAAACACTTATAAACGTCAAGCGTCTTGTTTTTTTAAGAAAAACAGGCTCTGCTTTAAATGCGCTGAACAAAATAAACATATTGTTCAGCAGTGCGTCGAAATCTGCAATAAAAAGCACCCTCATAGCTCTTCATGATGAAGACAAAGGCAACGAAGTCCAAAACGCAACCTCATATCATCCTGTACCCAAGTATGCACCGAAGAGGAAACCCGCCGGTCGTGTGCTAGAATCGTTTCT